TGTGAGAAAAGGGCTTGGCATTGCATCAGGCATGAGGTACATGGTAAATTCTCAGTAAACGGTAGTTTACTGTGTTTTGTAAGCTCTGAGTTTCAGCCCTGGCTCTGCTAGCTCTAGGGGGCTTTGGGCAAGCAGGTAAGCTCTCTGAGTTGTTTCTGCAAATTGAGGGGCTGGACTGTATAACCCCTCGGAATTCCTGATGCCTTTGGTTTTATGACATGCATGAAAGGCAAGCTCCTACTCAGGGTCCCGCAGCATTTCAGTTGTATGTCCTCAGACCTGAGTCACCAGCCCAGGAGGTCCCTCTGTTCCAGCAGCACCGGCAGGGTCTCTGGGAGCCACTTGGAGAAGGAGGACTTGATTCCTCAGTCATGAACTAACTTCCTGTGACCTGCTGTCTCTTAGGAGTCCAGGAATGGAGTGTCCACTTGAAAACAATGTGCTTTCGGTCATTGTGAAACAAACACAAGCGACTTGACTCTAATGTTAGCTTCATTTTTATAGGAAGTTCTGAAATATGCAGAACTGTTCCTGGGTCCAAGAAGTCACACCGTAAATTGATTTTTAAAAAACTGTCTTGAATCCCATTGATTCGAGTTTAGAAGGGAGAAAACAAGGGTTGTCACTAAAAGCAACTCGCAGTGGGGTGGGCAGCGGAAGGCCACCATTATGTGCCCTCAGGGATTCCTTTCTTGGGGCTTTTTGATCATCAGACCTTTTATTTTCAAAACCACAACCCAATGCTACTGGCAATTTCCTCTTTACTGGTAAGAACCAACCTCTCTGATACTCTGCATGGAAGTGTTATATCCTAGATCGTTCATAAACCTTTTGAGGACCTACTGTGTGCCAAGCACCAGAGAAGCAACATGAATAAGACAGAGTCTATAAACTCCAAACCCAGTGCCTGGCAAGGTGCCGGCATATCATAGCTGCTTGGTAACAGTTGTTGGATGAATGAGTGTAATAACTAATCATCCATAGGTAGCCATCACAGCATTCTGATGGAGGCTATAACATTGGACTACATTTTTGATCACCTGTCCTAAAAGTGACCAGCCAACCAGGTCTCAGGCCAGGAGGAGACCACGGGGCTGTTTGGCTTACCTGGCACTTGAGCTGTGGTCTAGTGTGGTAGCTGACAGCATGCTTTTCTGGGGTCAGAATCCTGTCTCTACCTCTTACTAGTCATGAGACCTGGGCAAGTTCCCCTACCCTGCTGGGTCTCAGTGTTCCCATCAGCAAAGTGGGGACAGTAGCACAGAGCTTGAGTGCTCTCTAAACGCTAGCTGCCACCTCTGTCTGGGCCCTGGTGACTCAGCCTTCTCTGAGGCCACTGTTTCTAGGACACACATGGGGTAAATATTCTCATGCTTATGTGAGTGTATTCCAGGCCCTTCCTTTGCCTCCCAGGCAACATGGGAGTTCCTCATTACTGTCACTTGGATGTGACTGGCCCTGTAATCAGCTGTGGCCCCTACAAACCAAAGGCGCCCGTGGTCTAGACCTGAGAAGGGGCACAGTGGGGCTCAGCTTCTAGGGAGTATCTGTACCTTTGCCCAGCGCCAGCACTGGGACGTTCCGCAGCTCCTGTTGTAAATGTCACGCTGTCTTGGAGGTACATGGAGCCAGGTTGTGTGGGAATTATTTATTCTGCAATTGGATTCTTAAGAACCAGAAGGCATGAAGTATGATTTGTCTGCCTCTTCCCCATGGGGAGGGGCGGAAACCTTATTAGAATGCAGATTCCTGGGCCTTAACCCCCATCTCCCCAACTTATAATTCAGCCAATGTGGAACGAAGCCAAGGACATGCCCAGAAATCTGCCTTTTTAACAGATTAAAAAGGGAGGATTTGGGGGGACTTCAGTCTGTTCTTGGTCTCTCTGATCTCTTATTTCCATGTCTCAGCTGATCACTGGGTCCCTTCTGAGTCACCTGGCTCTTACTGGCGGGAGGAAAAGTGCAGACCTGAGCATCCTGCACAGGTGGGCAGGGGTGGGCTGTGACTCGGTGGTCTGTTTAATCCTGGCTCGCGTTCCGGGCAGGCGGTGGGGAGGTGGCCCTCGGCTCAGGAGTCCGGCAGCGCCTGTCATACCCGAGTCTCATCTTGCCAGCTCCCCATCCACGTGGCCCTGACCGCAGTCACGGGAGGCTCAGAGAGGTTATCTGCAAAGTGCAGGGACTTCCTTCCCCAGGCGCCGGGCACACCCCGTGTGCGCCATCAGCGGCCGGATCGTTATGGTTCCCATGCAAAGCGCACAAGGCCGCTTTGGCCTTCGTGGTCTGGGAGCCAAACGGGTCCCCGCGGCGCCCGCCCCGGGAAGTTGCGGGCAGGGCTGGACGGGGCGCTGGCGGCTGTAGGCAAAGGCCCCAAGGTTGGGCCCCACACGGGCAAAGCATTTTAAAGGCCTTGTATTAGAAAAATAAGCCAATTAAATAATACTGCCCCCCATAAAAGCAGACTTTTAATGGATTGCACGGTGGGGTTTTCACCGTGGCGGTGGCGCAGCCCTGGGCCTGGATGAGCCTGTCTGCCGCCATGGGGGGAATTTAATCTTGCATGGCCCGGGCATAATTTTACAAGTTTTATGGCTGTTTTTACTCCTCCGAAGTGTTGCTATGTCATTGTGCACCGAGGGCAACTTGCGTGCATTTAACAGTTTACCTCCTTTTTGGTGGAAATGAAAAATGAAGTAATAAATTAAAGAAAAACACAACGTAGAATTATCCCACCCCCCCTTTTCTTGGGGCAACCGTGGAGGAACAAAGAACCAGTGTTTCTGTGTGCGGCCTAATCAAACTCTAATGGCTTTTATGTATTGACATTTGCCTGCAGATCCCTCCTCCCCGGGGAAGGCTGCTGGCGTGTGGGGGTGTTCGGGGCTGGCACTGCTGACCCGGGGAACGCTGGGGCAGTTCTTCAGGGCCGGGGTTAGCAAACTGCAGCCCGAGGGCCACGTCCAGCCCCACTGCCTAATTTTTGTTGAACAGTGGAGAAAAAACTCAAAAGAATAATATTTCCTGACACATGAAAATTCGATGAAATTCAGGTTTCCCCGTCCATATGTGACGTTTTGTCAGTGCTCCACCATGCCCATTCTTGTTTCCATACCGTTTATGGCCACTTTCACACCAGACATCCCATGGCGGAAAGCCTAAATGCCATCTGGCCCTTTAGGGAAGTCTGCTGACCCCTGCCCTAGGAAGTCAAGGAAAAGGAGAGAGAATACACAGCCTCAAGTTTCCTGGGATTGATGATTTACTTTCGGGCTTTCCATGTGGCTCAAAGTGACAAGTCAAAGGTGGATCACCTGGGAAGGAGTTGATTCCCCTGGAGACCTTCTGGAAGGAATCAGCTGCTTGTGGGGATGACTGTCCTCACTCTTCTGACCTCAAATTAAGGAGAGGGTCCTGGCTTCTGAGCAGAGGGTCCTGGCTTTACCCCTCTGGCCAGCCTGCCCAGTCTTCTGACCTGCTCCCTGCTGGAGGTCTGGTAGCTTCTCATCAGCCCACTTGGTAGCTCATGAATAGAGAAGTTCCCCCCTTCCTCCCAGGGGCCAAGCAACTCATGTCATAGATTGTTATGTGCAAACCTAGTGGACGATCTAGAATAGCTTCAGAAATTTATAACCAACGCTTTGAAACTCTAGCTGTTTGCCAGGTACAGTTTTAAGGATTCTTCTGCATATGGTAGTAACTCCTGTAATCCTCACATCCAGCCCAGGGAGTTAGATACTCTTCTCATCCCATCTTACAGATGAAGAAGCAGAGGCACAGAGAGGTTAGGTAATTTGCCAAAGGTCACACAGCTGGTAGAGTCAGGATTCAAACCCAGGCTGTCTGCTCCAGGGAATGTCCTCTTGTTTACTCTTCTGCCACTATAAAGAGGGCGAATTCTTTACATTTATGAAAGGATCTGTATTCCTTGTTCCAGTCATGTTCCCATCACATTGCTCATTGAGAAAACTGCCTCCTGTTTGAGAAGAAAGCACTTGTTCATTCATTCCTCTCCTATCCTGCCCCCTTTCCTTCTGGCTTTCCTCCTTCTCTCCTTCCTTCCTTCCCTTCCTCTCTCCTTTCCTCCCTCCCTTTCTCCTTCCCTTCTTCCTTCCCACCTTCCCTTCTTCTCCCTCCTTTCCTTTCCTCCTTCCCTAATTCTTTCCCCATCTCCTCCTTCCCTTCCTCCTCCCTCTTCCCTTCAGCAGAGAATTATCAAGCGCATGACTGTGTGTTAGCCACTGTGTGAGTGAGTAGCTGCTCAGAGTGCTGGTGTTTTGTGAATAAGAAGAACAAAAAAAGAAAGAACCCATTTCCATTGAAAAATAGTTCTTGGTGGCCTCCACACTGATGGGTTTTGAGGAGTGCACTTAATTCCCCATCTTTTATTAATTGTAAGTGCCATCTCCATCTGCCTAGAACCATAAACTCTTGTCCTTTCTGCCTCAAACTGATATTTTAATTTAAAAAAAAACACGTAATTTACGAGAGGCTTTGAGAAGGCTGGTCTTCCGCTTTATCCGTGGGAGAAGCCTCCCAGGGAAGAACTTCCACTGTTCTCGGGAGGCCAGGTTCCCAGGGACCAGGAATCAGAGGTCACTGGTCATTGAGGGAGAAGTCTGTGGGATCTTAAAGTATGTCACTAAGCCTGGTGCTTGGTAGAACTTGCTGTTTTGGAACAATCTTTACAGTGTCTTTTGTAAGTGATTTCATTCCAGCGAAATTTTAGATGACCAACTTTGTTTTCTTAAAAACTTGCTGGGAAGAATCTTTAGCATGATCTCTACCCTTCTGGGTGTGGAGATGCCTGAACGTTGGCAAGACAGAGTGGCACCTGTACCACAGGACAAGGGAACAGAATTGGAAATTGGAATTTGCTAGAAGCCATTGTTCCCTCTTCCTTTCCTACCTGTTTCTCCTCTTCTCCTCGGTGCCTTTTTCTTTGCCGGACAAGAAACCTTGGTTGCTCATGTCTGATGAGCCTTTACTTTCTTTCCTCAGTCATGCGGAGGAACCCCTTTGCCGTGGACATCTGCTGCCGGAAGGGGTCCCGGAGCCCCCTGCAGGAACTCTACAACCCGATCCAGGTAAGCCTCGGGGACTCCATCAGCACATGTCAACTTTTTGGGGGTGGAGGATAACTTAAAAACTCCAAAACTGTGTTCTTTGGGGATTTGAAACTTCCTCCCACTGCCTGGCATTTTATCTTCAGTGGTTGCTTTCTTCGTCACCCTTTTTTTAATTCTAGCAAGAGATATTTAGAATTAGGGAAATGCCTAGGTTGAGTGCTAGACTAAGCATTCAGACCTGCCCAGAGTTTGGACCCCTGAGATCCACACAGTCGCAGGTCCCCCCACTGGGCCTCTGGAATCGGAGAGCTGGTGGGACTGTGCGTTCTCCCATTTGGACACCCCCACAGGAGGCTTGAGTGTCGGTGAACTTGCCACTTATGGCTCCCACATTGGATTATTAAAGCCCAAAGATGCCAAGTGTGCCACACCTCACTGCACCAGTTTGGCAAACTCCCTTGTGTACAAGGACTTCTTGCTAAGTGACTGTCACGGTAAATCTGACTTGTCAGTTTAACAAGAGGGCAAACATGGCCTCTGTGCCATCAATTATGAAAAAGAATTCCTCTGTGAGCAAAAAAAAGCTCCAACCAAGAAAAAGTGTCCTTTGTGGAAAGCTCGGTGCAGAGTTAGGAGGCCTGGTCGCCATGGTGATAGCCTCAGTGGTGTGTGTGGGTCTTGACGTGGAGACTCCAGGGCTGAGTCTACAACCAGTGACAACATCAATGGACCTTCACTAGAGAAAGAGAGATAAAAGGTACTGCTTTGGCTCTAGTCTCTACATTGTATTTTGTATCAGATTCTTAACTTTGTATTTCTGTGGATGCTTAGTGAAGGAAGATAATGCTTGGGCCTCATGGATGCTCAATTCTTAGAACTCTTGCAAAGGGATGTGACTGAGAACTTTCTCATCCCACCTCTGTTCTCAGTCTTGCACCAGCACTCCCTTCTGCCAAAATTGACTCCTGAGTTTGTGCATCATGGGTGGCCTCATCAGGTTAACCCATGCCCTGTCCCAAGGTGTGACTAGGGCACAGAGTAGGCCAGATTAGCCTGGTAGCTGCCAACACAGTATTGCCCGAGGCTTTGTGTACTGGGTTCTGTGGTGACTCAGCAGGGAATTTGATATTTGGGTTTCCTTTGGTGCCCAAACAATCTGCTTATTGTAGGCAAGTCTCCCACCCTGTCCAGACACCCCATCCTCAGGAAGAGGCAGGATTGGGCTTTGACAAAGGAGAGGGTTCTGGTAACCCGTGTTGAAAACAACCCAGGCTCCTCAGATGCAAACCATTCCCATCTTCTTTGTTGACATCCTCTGTTCTCAGATCATTTTCTCCTTCAAAACGAAACTGTGAAGCACGGCTGCAGATTTTCATGGGCAGCATATGGTGTCATGGGAAGAGCTATTTCTGAAGTAGCCGCCCCTCTGGACAGAAAGTCCATGGACTGTGTCTGTCCTGTTCTCTGTTGTCTCCCCAACAACTAACACAGAGCCTGGCCTAGTGGGGGGTGCCCTCAAATACTTGCGATTGAAAGAATGAAAGTCTGTGTTCACATTCCTGTTTTACCTCTAACTTGTTGTGCAACCTTGGGTATATGATGAATTCCTCTTTAGGTATCAGTTTTCCCATCTAAAAAAAAATCTCTCTGGAATGTTTGGAAGATGGAATAATGCCGATGTGTCAGGGGCTCTGTAAGTATGATTTGTCATTTTTGTGGTCACGAGGGTGGCTTCAACATTGGAAGCCTTGACTTCAGAGTCAGACCTGGATTCGAAGGCTGGCTTCATTATTTCCCAGCTACGTGAGTGTGGGCAGGTTACCTAACCCTCCGAGAATGCTTTCCGTCATTCACCGTACAGCCTGAACATACCTACCTCGCAGGGTTGCACGTGGGGGTATGTCTTGCTTGGTGCCTCCTATGGCGTTCGCTCCTTCCTGGGCCCATTCACTCATTCACTCATTCAGTTCTTCATCTGCTGCTACGAGTGCCTACTACATGCAGCTCAGAGCTAGGCACTGGGCACAAAAGGGGAAGAGACTGTGTGTGCTTAGCCTTCGGGTCTGGTTATTCTTGTTATCCCAGGGCTGGCAGGAATGAGTTAACTGGTGAAGGAGACCCCGCTTGGTCCATTTGCAAACCAACCAAAGGAGAGATGACTCTCCCAGCCATCTCTTCCTTCCCGTAGTGTTTAGTGTTCCGAGCATTGTCTGGATGACAGGCCCATTTAGCAATAGCCTGGGACTTGGAGAGGCGGCTCTGGGAAGCATTCGTGAGGGCGTGGGCGGGTGAGTCACTGTCCTCCCTCAAAGATGTCTTCGCAAGTTGTCTGGCCCTTTAGCTGGCAAGCAGGGAAATGTCCCCGCAGGAAAATCACCCCGTTTCCTCGGGATGTTGTCTCGGGATGTTTTTTCTTAGGCTGGCTTCCTTTACAAGCTGCGATTATGTTCCATTCCCACGCAAGTTCAGTAAGTGGCACTTTTCGGAGAAACTGTCTTGGTGATTATTTGGGCTGCTGTGGGCTGGGGATTTAAGAGGAGAGAAGAGAGTGAGTGTCCCGTTGAGTTTAGTTAGTTTCAAGTCCATGAGACATTTACAGAATTTGCACCCGATTTGGCTCGGTTGCAGTTTCTCGTATTTCCCTACCGGCCAGGCTGTTGAAGCCGCTGAGCCTGGGGAAAATGGTACCACTGAGGCAGGGGACAAACCCTTCATCTCTAGAAACCAAACAGCTCCCTGAGATGATGTTTTCCTTTTCTATACTGACCGGTTATGTGAGTTTGTTATATGATGGTGAAAACAGGAACTGTTTATTTTAGATGATAAGAAACTAACATTATGGCAAGAAGGCATTACCTTAGTCACCAAATATCGTAGGCCAGATACTATCTAGATGCTTATAAACATCTCATCTAACCTTATAGTAAACCCAGAGCTGGTAGTACACCCCCATTTTATGGACGAATGAGGTCGATGATTTTATACAACTTATCCAAGGCCACGTGGCTAGTAGGAAACAGAGTAAGATTCAACCCTAAAACAAACTACAAATCTGGGTTTCTTTGCATCTATGCTAGACTCACCATCAATAGTAAAGTTCTCTTGGTGGGAATTATCCCAGTCTCCCCTACAAAAAAACATATGTAAAAAACCTAGATTTATACTGGACAAAAGCTTAAACCTCCCCTGGGAAAATCGGCTATAATCTGATCTTAGTGTTCAGGGTTTTCTTATTTTAGTGCCCTGCAAACCCCTAACCATTAAAACAACAATTGGTTAAAAAAAGTTTGTAGTTGCTATTCTTAGAAAAACTGCACTCCGATGTCTTATAATTTTCCTGGTTCTCTACTGTCTCCGTGGCCCCAAAATAAAACGTAATTGCCAATCGGATCAGCTGGTGTCAAGTCACCGAAAGTTCAGGAGTTGCCAACTGCATATTTGTGGGCCGCGCACATCTGCGGCCGCCCCGGCTCAGCTCAGATGCGCTGGGCAGAGCCGCGCTGTCAGCCGTTAATAGGGCATAATTTCCCCTCGGAGCCGGCGAGGGCGAGACAGCTTGTCCTTCTGCCTCGCCCACCTCCTGGTCCTCTCGTGATTTCCTGAAGTCTCGCAGCATCACCCGTGTGGTTCAGCCCTGCCCTGCTTGGTTCTTTCTTTAGCGTTTGCATTTATTTGCTCTGTAATTACCACGCTCCAAGGAGAGCGTTGCACGGCGCGTGCCGATCTTGAGTGTGTACGCGCTGAGCTAGGAGCTTTGCACCGAGCACACGCCACATCCGGTGCCTGCGGCTTTCTTAGGGGTGTCTGAGGACCAGTCAGTACTTGGGGATCTGGAGGTCTTCTGAGTGAACTGTTTGAGGAGGAAAAAAAATTCCATAAGGAGGGAGAAAAGGCTCCAGGGATGCTGAGGGTGACAGTGAAATATCCACTATTCGATGGCCCCTTTTGGTCCAATATTCAGTGTGCTAGAGCGGACTTCTCTATCGGGTTGGCTCCAGGACGAAGAATTGAGGGGAGAGGGAAGGAAGGAAGGATAGAAGGAAAGGAGGGAGAAAGGAAGACAACTGACCATTCACTGAATGTGTGATATACAACAGTGACTAATGTACATATTTTTTCACACAAATGTCTTTGAATCTTCACAACAGCCCTTGTTGAATCTCCAGTAACTCTATTTTCCAGATAAGTTAACCGAGGCCCACAGGGTTGAGCAATGTGCCAAGATCACACAGCTCCTAAGTGGTAGAGCTAGGCTTACCTAACCTGGCTAGATTGCAGGATGAGAAGAGGCTAGTGTTTTATCTTCCCCGGGTGGAAAAATGAGATCCTCTTGCCCAGGGACTGAAGCTGAGGCCCGGCGTGTGCTCAGGACCCGTTGTACACTTCCCAGCGGCGGGAACCAGGGCTGATGGAATGGCGTGGAGTGCATGCTGATGTCCAGTAAACACCTGCAGGTTTGGTTTTCACTCACTGCAGGAGTCACCCAAGAACTCTGCCATGAGATAGCACAGCTTGGGAAGATTTGCAAGTAGAGAGGGGTCACTGATTCATTTGAATGTTTTAGGTGGTAAAAGCTTGTAATAGTCCAAGGGGGTGGGAACCTCTCCCATACATCAGACTTCCCCGTGACAGAGAAGATGGAACAGCAGCATGGGGGGTGACGGGAGGGGACAGCAGGAGCGAAGTCCAGGTGGGACAGTCCATGGCACATTCAGAGAACCATGAGAGGTTTATGGCTGCAGTGAGAGTGATGCCAGGGGCTGGCTGCAGAGGGCCGGGGAGAGGTAGGTTGGTACTAGGAGGAGAGCTTAGTCTTTACCCTCTGGCAGGGTTGGTGGTCACGTGGGACCCACAGACGTGGGTCATGTGCATCTTAGGGCCAGCTTCTGTTCTGACTCAGCCCCCGTTAACTCTGCGGCTCCTCCAAGGCAGGTAATGTCCCCTCCTTGACCTCAGCATCGCCATCTATGAAATGAAGGTGTTGGACCAGATCAGTGGTTCTCAAGCCTGCACAGTAG